TTCAACACCGCAGCACAGTAGCCCTATACAACACCAAAGAATGAGGATTTTCTATTAGATTTGAGCTGGCTGGAGAGAGAGACAGAAAGAGAGAGAGAGGAGCGAGGCAGAGAGTTGCCTTCATTTAAACTGTTCTGCACTGAGGCTTTTCAATTTGATTATGAGGCTCCATTTCATAGAGCCTGGATGCTGCGTGCCATTCCGAATGAAATTGAGCCATTGGTTGGCTGGACAGGCAGCCTCCCCGTGTCTCCTCTGTGGGGGCATAAGGGGACGACAAGGGCAACACTGCCAGCCGTGCCCTTTTCGCTGCACTGTTTAGTCGGGTTGCAGGGGCAATGCAAAAAGTGACGGAGCTTGGGTGGCTGGCTAAGTGGGTGGGAGTTTGAGTGCTTTGAGGTTTTGGAATGTGATGTGAGGACTACCTCTGGAAAGTATGAGAAGGACTTATTCACAGAGTAGAAGGTCAGGCATACATCTTGGTATTTTGTAATATTAGTAAAAAAAAATATTATTATTATATTATTTAAATATATTTTAGTATTTTATTGTTTGTGTCTCACTTCCCCAATGTGTCTGTGCAGATAGTCTCTCTCTTATTTGTCCCTCTTTCCACCAGCACAAAATATTTCAGTGTTCATACAAACTGACTGATGGGACGGTCGCCCATGTTTGGGTCACTCTTGACTTGGTTCAGTGACTGATGAAAGAGGTAACTAAAGCTGAGGATGTAACAGCAACCCTGCTCTCCTGGTGTCCATCATCAATCCTGTTCCTTTACATTATTGGAACAACACTTCCTTGAACGGTCTCCTTTTACATCTCAGGCTCTTTTGTGGTCCCATGACCTGGCCATTTTACTCTGATCAATTGGCATGTAATTAGGAACCAAATCAGGGGTAAACTACGAGTTTTATTTTTCAGCATTTCTGTTCACAATATATAGGGATGTTTTAAGGGGGATTCATTTTCATTAAGAAAAAACTAAATTAATGAACGGAGGGACCCAAACCATGCCTTCTAGAAAGGTTGGAGGAATTTATTATCTGTGTTCAGTTTGAAATTCCAAGGTAAAAATAAATGAGGGCCCATGCAGGGAGTGTTGTTTGTTCAGTGTGGAGGAGGCAAGATTCATGTCTGTCAGTCATTAATTGTACAGTCACACTTTCTCCGAGTTCATTCTGCTCTATGGATACATAACGTTAATCAATACGAAGAATGAGTTTTGGTTTGTCACTTTCTTTCTCATAACCCATGACCTGCATAAATTTATATTACAACAGGTGAAACCACCAAGTGTATCACAGATGCCATGTAGCTTGGTTTACAGTCACACACACAACACAAGAACTACAATTGCACACAGAAAAATAAAGGATACGTGCTGGAAAATGCCACGAGCTAGCACGACAACATTTAATTAAAACCACAGAAATGCCTCAATTTGACAATGATCTTCCTCACTCTCTATATTTATTAAGTTTCGTAGAGTAAGAGGTTAGTCATAACTGTACCAACATTCTCATAGTGATGTTATTTGGTCTTACTTTTAGCAGATAAATTAAAGAGGTTAAAGCTTTTGAAGAAGGGAGTTCCTAATCTGGGACACAACTAGACAGTCTGTTTCACTCTGAGGGTTAATGGCAGTTGACGGCTTCAACTTAGCTCGGGAGGAAGAACAGGGTGGCTATTTATTGTAGGTTGTTATTTAGAGGTTCAATTCTTGAGAAAGATACTGAACCATAAGTTGCGCCTGATGTGTTGTTGCTTTGGATAAAATCATCTGTCAAATTTATTTTATGTAATAAAAGTCCCCAGTCAAGTAGAGTAGTTTCTAATTCTCTAATATTGTGGTAGGACAAGAGTAAGATAAACAGTGTAAAAATAAACCTATAAATTCACAAAAACTCATAAACAGTGTTTTTTTTTACAAACATGCACAGGCAATTGTCTTGAATTTTTTTCTCAGATATTATAGTCCAGGACCTGCATTAACATATCAAGCAACACAGGACCTAAAAAAATAAAGCTAAAAATACTCTGAGCTCAACACAGGACTTCAGAGTTTTTTACTTTCTACACAAAAGCAATAAATCCTCTTTTGACAATCAGTACAGTCTGGCAGGCTGATGTGCTGTAGCGCTTGATGCAGGAAAAGATTATGCTATTTACACACTCGTAAAGACTAAAAAATATTTACCAAAAAGTATTAATATGGCCAGGGCCAAAGTTAAGACTGCATTAGGAAACTATGCTAGCTACAAAAACAATGTCAAATAGCTTATGCAGCGCTGTATGACAGTGAGTGATCACCAGCAGTAGGGGACAGTCTCACTTTATGATAGCGCTATGATTATGTTATAATCATTGACCTTAATTGAAGTAATCGTCATTGTCACTACAGCATGGCACACACCCTACCCAAGGGCGTCACTTTATGTTGAAAAGTGGTGGGGACATTTAAGGGCTCAGATTAGGGGTGTGACAAAACACTTAGCCCACGAGACGTGACACTGCACAGAATATATTTTAATACAATTTAGAAAAATTATGTATTCATGAATTTGGGATTGGGGGCCTGGGGGTTTCCTCCCCAGAAGATTTTGAGCATTAAACACTTAATTTATTTTTTAATTTAAGTTACTTTTTTTTTGGACAATGCAGATCTGTTTCTTCTATATTTATATTGCATTGCAGGATTTCCTATTGTGCAAATAAACCTTTCTCAAAACATTTTCATTTGTTAATTAACATTTTGGTGCAAGTCATTTGGCGAAAGATTGACAGTGATTGAGAGCTGTAGGCCAAGATTTCTTTTTTTTGACCTGCAACGCAAGAAACAGAGGGCAGAGGGGGAGAGGGTGGGGGTTAGTAAGGCTGTGATTGGGCCGGCCCAGTGCATATATAGTAAATTACCCAATGGGCCGTTGTCCGTGGTTTATAGGCCGGTCTTTGACCCATTTTTAAAAAAACAGTTAAATAAATAAATAATTTATGTTACACCGGGCGTTTGCCCGGTATGCCAGATTACTAGTCCACCCCTGAATACGGCCTACAAAAATGAACTGCACAGTTTGATTGCTTGCACCAGTTGAGTTCACTCCAGTAATTGTCCTACACTCTCTTATGCTGCTCAGCCAGAACATGCACTGGCTACCATAACAATATTTTCATCATGTCTGTTGGACTTCTGTCATAGTCTGTGCAAACCTGTGCTTCAGTGACATTTTGATATTAAGTTGTCATATTTGCAAGTTAGTGCTGATGCTGAGAAACTCAGAGAAGCGTCAACACTTTTGATTGTTCAGTGAAATAATTAAATCTGTCGATATATCAAGCTATAGATATAAATCTTTGTTGCTGCATCCATTTGTCAGAAATAAGTTGTAAATAGCCGGAATTGACCCTTTGGGTGTGAACAAAATCAGTAACGAGACATTGAATCCACTCAGTATCTTTAAGGAACTTGCTGTTTTGTTTTGATATGTTGAACTAAAATCAAATTTGCTAAATTCAGCACTCCCTGTTCTATTTTTATCCTTAAACAAAATAACAGCATCTTGGTCGCTATTGCCATATCAGCATCTATTTATTCAGTATTTCCTGTCATTCAAACCTAAAGTTCACTCACTGCACAGTCTTCAAAAGTGTAGAGGGGTCCTAATGGCACAGATTAAAAAGCAATTTAATACAGAAAAGGGGATTAGAAACACTATGGGCTGCACTAATCCTTAACCTTTAGTCCTGTTCTCATGGAGCCACAATATGCGGAAGACGATAGCATCACAGGACTAGAGTTAGTAAATTTCCATTAGGGTTGCCCTTCTTTATTCCCTCCAGCACATTTAAAGGCATTAGGCATGCTTTGTCAAGGCTAATAAAAAGGGCCAGCAGTGCTATCACACACCCCCAACTTGTTTCGGAAAAAGCACTGTTCCATGTGAAGTTTTCATAACCCATTATGATAATCTGCACGAGTCTCTGAAGGGCAGGGGATAGACAGGCAGATAGATGCTTCTGGGGTGACTGCTCTACAGCCTCTGCGTGGATAGAACATTTTCTGTCTGCGTAACCGGGACAGAAACTCACTCCTATCTGCCAAGAAGAGCAGAAGTGATAGACGACTCAATGTGAGAAGAGAAGAGCCGGTATGGCACCAGGTCAAAAAAGACAAATAGGAATTTTCTGTGTAGGTGATAAAGAAGTTAAAATACGTAAAATACAGTAGAATGTAATATGTAAAATAAACAATTTATTGCCCCCAAGTTGCCCATAACCTCAACAGACATCATTCTTTGAGTTTCAAAAATCTCACATTTGTCTCTGTGGTACATCTGATCTGAGAAGGTCCACATTTCTTCTTCATTCTCTTGTGGGCAGCCTGCTCCTAATCTCTGCTGCGGAAGTGTTTCTCTGATAGGAAACAGGGTCACGCCGAGCATTAATCATTCATATCTAAATTTGTCCAGCGCAAAAATTCAATTTTCTGCACTTTGTAGGGTCCACTATTGGTTATATGATTTTATTTATACATCAAAGTCCATTCATTATTTATTTGTTTTTGAGCCAACACATTTTGATGCCATTTTCTTGAAGGAAAAGCTGGCACACTGTCACATAAAGTGAACTTTTGACTGCTGTGTGATTATGTTTTTTCAACACTTCCTAGAACAGGCTATAACTATTCTTAATGAACAACCACGTCTTACCAGTTCCCAATATACAATGTTCAAGAAAGAATACTTTGAGTAAACAAGAAGTGTTGATTTGTTGGTTATGTTAGGCCACATGTCCTGCTGAGCACTAAATCTGTCTGCTTTTATAACCAAAATTGTTTTGCAAGCTCCTTCCCTCTGTTTGCCCTCTCCAGAGCCACATAGATGTAACTCCCACATCAATGCTCTATTAAAAGTCTAAACCTGTGTCTCTCCCACCTACTGTTTTTACACCCTTTTTGTTGTTGATACTATTGTATTTATCACTCTTCTTCCTGCTCACAGGCCACTACTGAGAACAAGAAGCTGAGCCATGCTGGATCCAAGCCCTCCCTCTCCGAGAGCAGCGGCCGACTCCCTCAGATAGCCATGAACACCTGCAAGTACAATGGCGGAGTGGTAAGACCACTAGTGGGCAGCCTGGCGTCCTCGTCGCGCCGCAACCTCGCGGAGCTCGACTCGGAGACGCAGCCCTTGCAGACGCTGCACAGCTCTGGCCTGGAAGTGGTGGTGTCCAAGGGCAACGGCGGCGAAGACCCCAGCAAGGCGTCCAACGAGAGCTTGGTCAGGGAGGGCAGCGGGCATGGCGGAGGCAGGGCGCCGCAGAAGAAGAACAGGGACATTGGCTACAAGCTCGGCCACCGGAGGGCACTGTTTGAGAAGCGGAAGCGGCTCAGCGACTACGCACTCATCTTCGGGATGTTTGGGATTGTTGTCATGGTGACAGAGACGGAACTGTCATGGGGGGTTTACACTAAGGTAGGCTGTGCATGTGTGTGATGCATGAGTGGGAGCTTTGTGTGTTGTCATTGATTGTTAATTTTGATTTGTGTGGGGTTGGCAGCTGTCAGATTTATGAAGAGCAATTATTAGCACAGACATTGACATACATTATCTAACAAAGGTGATGGGAATATTGCACAAGCACAAAAGGAGTGTTGTGTGATCTATGACTAACAGTCTATCGATTGGATAAAATCTCCAATTGTGCCTTTTTTAAATTTTTCATTCAGTAATTTCTTGACTAGGCTACAGGCCTGCTTTTGTTTTTCATTTTTTGCCATCAGATCAGAGTTTAGCCAAATAATTGGTTACACTACTGGTGCTATTGTGACTGTCTGTTGTTCCCTGTGAAGCCTGCATCTAAAATCACTACCTCACAGCAGGAGAGTGAGATGAAGAGAGGGATAGCAGAGGAAAGGGGATGAAGAGAGCAACATACATAGAGATTTACAGAGAGAAAGAGAGATAAAGACAAGTAGAGATAACGAGAAAGGTCAATAGGAATAAAAGATGGGAATGAACTTTCAGATGCTTAAAACTGCCCGACAGCATCTTTTACTTTTCTTCAAAGTGGAGACAACACAACACGCTTTAGGAACAAGAGGAACTCTTGAGCAAGGGTATCAACAAGGCAGCTTAGCTTCAGGGTCGTGGTGACCTGGTCACCGCCCCTTGACCTGTTACTGTCCCAGTGCACCAGCCCTTCAGTTATGCTGTGTCAGGGCATTTTGGCTAGAATATTGATCTCTCAGTGCACTTAGAGCAGCTACCACCACCATATTTACAGGGCTGCTTACTGACATCACATAACAGGTCACGGTGTCTTTGTATTGTTAAAAAGAACAATCTTTTTAACAATACGTGAGTAAAAACTGAACATGACTGAATACCTTATGTGGTTTTATATGTTTAAGCACACTAACAACAAACTGTATAGAATGTGTATATTTAAACATTATTGATCATGTGGGGTCCAACTACCACAAGAGCATCACAGATGACTGACTTATGTATGCATTATAAAGTTTATATGGCTAATGAGTTAGCAGTTACCTATTTACAGATCCAGCCTTAGCATTAATTTGGAGTCATACTTCTGGCAACCCATCAAATGCTTGTCCAATATCTACTCTTGTTTTAACTCTGTTTTGGTCTTCAGCAACTTGTTAGAAATATGAGGGGGTCTTTAACTTAGTAAATGCTACACTGTATTCACTGGCTAACAGCTAACTTTACCTGTTCACTGGCTAGTTGCTAACTTTGTGCCTCTGCCGTTTAGTGTAGAATAGGACAATGTACAGTGAGTTTATCAGAGCATTTCATTGAAAACAGCTACCTGTTGTGGCTGGAAACTATGTTGATAAAAGCGAAAGACTGTACCAAAACGTTGTGGCTGTAAAACCAAAACAAGAGCTGAAAGGCGCTAAGACTTAATAATTACCTGCCAGTGCTACCTGTCACTTCTCACCTTTATTGTGAAACTTTAACATGATTGCAGAATATTGTATGAAACAAAACCCAATATGTTGCATTTGTTTTTTAAATTTCAGGTTTACACTTTTCACTATGTAATAAAATGGATTTGCAGAGTCCTGAAACTTGCCTGTCTTTTAAGACTGTTCAAAAGACAAAGGTCTAACAACTGGGACAGGGGTTTTATAATCCAGAGGTAATTACTACTACATTAGTGGGTGTTGGTAGTGCGTTTAGTGGTAGAGTTTCAGTGTCTTTTCAGACAAGGGTTAGGGGCCTCAAGTACTTCCTTTTTGCTGGTATAATGTCCTTTAAGGTAAATAATTTGTCACCTTTATTTTGTTGTCAATGTATACATTATTGTCACATGATGCTGTGGCTGTGACAAGTGGCTATTTTTAATTCTCCGGTACTGTGAAGGTTGCTTTGGCATCCAAATATTGACTGTGGATTAATGATCTGTACAGTCAAAAACGTATGTCAGTTGACTGGTACAAATCTCAAGTTCTATCTATAGTTTGCATCTATTATTCCTTACATTAATGTCAAGTACATTTGTAGGTAATGGGCTAAAGCACACAAAACCACTGGTATCTTCTTTCCACGAGGGACTGATTTTTCTTCCAGTTGTCTCTGTCAGATTATTTAAAATTTTTAAATATGCTTTTGTTGACATGTGTGAGTGTGTGTCTGTACTATTTAGTAAGTCAGTGCAGTAATCTATAGGATGATGTATGGGGTTTAAAGAAAGTCAATAGGAATGTCTGTGACTGTTACTCAGCGGGTTTAAGTCCATTCATCAAGCTGACCTCAGCTGAAATGGAAATGACCTCCGATTCCTTAGTATGCCCCCCCCCAACACCAGACAGGTAGCATGTGCTGTGGATGGTCCATTTTCCATCTCACGTCACATCACACAGCAGACACTTAAAGCTCAGCCAAGGATTTCTGAGCCCTGAAGGAGGGAAACACGTTAAGAGGCAGTGAGCACTGGGACAGAAAAATCCTTGAACCTCTGGCAGGTGGATTAATTGGTTTACTCAATGTTATTTCACTAGGGACTTCTCAAAACAATTTCAGACATTAGAATGTCTTGAGAACATGTCGCCGACCTGAGGGGCAAAGCAATCTAGTTGATAGCTAAAAATACATTCTGTAATATGGACCACCGAAGGACAGAGTAATATTGAGCAGCTCTCACTGACGATTATGAACGATATTTCCACTTGTTGTTTTTGTCATTTGTTGTCGCTGTCGTTATTATAATAACCCTAGGATCATTAGCCTGCTGCAGAGCAGGGTTTTTACACCATGGCTGTTAAATTGATTTATCAAATGGCATTTTACCAACATAGAGGGGAGACTTGAGTAGCACAGGTTCTCCTTTCCTAGATCTATGGACATATCTACACACACCCACACACACACACACACACACACACACACACACTGCAGCATCCAGCTGGCCTATTTATCACCACTGTGGTGCCCCCCCTGCTAATGCTAGCCTTTCCTTTTCTACAACTACCATTAAATGGAAAGTCCCCATGTTAGTGCTGGGCTTTGATTAATTGGTAGTTGAGATGGTGGGGAACAGCATCCCTAGATAATATCAGGCTGCACCTACACCTGCAGCTGCATTGTTTAGCAACATCCTGACTGCGCTGTTTGTGTGTAAAACCCCATTATCTGGTCTCAGTTAGACTTTTAAACTAATAAGTACTGTGTGTGTGTGTGTGTGTGTGTGTGTGTGTGTGTGTAGCTGTATACTGTTGTGGGCATACGCTGTATGTGCATGTTTATATTGGGACATTTATGCTACTCATCTAAGCCAATCTTTGGAGCAATTGTTTGTCAATATAATTTACAGATTAAATTAAATACACACAGCTTTCACTTGAATTTTACCTATTTTGCTCAACTGCCTTATTTCACCTTGTTGCTAAGCAGTAACTATTCAGAAACAATTGATTATATTGTAATAAGTCATTTTTGCTATCTATTGATGCTAAATATAGACTCTGGAAATATGGAAAAATGCAGGTCTACAATAAATACAGGGAACAGTTTTGGGTTTGAATTTAACATGGCTATTTCTAATACCTTTTTTCATGTCTTTTTCTCTCACCATAGGAATCTTCATACTCATTTGCACTGAAATGCCTTATCAGCCTTTCCACTGTTATATTGCTTGGTCTTATAATAATGTACCATGCCCGGGAAATCCAGGTGAGTCTACCACAGAAAAAATAATGTTGTTTTATTTGTCATAGCAGCAGCTTTTGGTATTTGTTTTGTGAAGATGATGCTGATAACAAGGATTCCTCATTTGGCAATTGGGCTTAGCTAATAAAAAGTTATCTAATAAATAATATTGAAGTACTATTTTTACATTCACAATTACAAATCTATAACACTGCTTATACATAGCACCTCCTTTTACATGACTTAAGAGTAATCCAAAAACACAATGTTTGGTAGACCAAATGTCTAATATTATATGAGGTTTTCTTGCATCATTTTATTGCATCACAGTTTCTTTTTTGTTGTTATGCTTGGTTTCAAGTTACACTGAATTACATCCCCTATTCAGTATGTTCTTTATCTGCTTGAGCTGCACCAGACATATAACATTTGAATTAAATGAAATATCCAATTCTTGATTGCCATTTTATGGCTACAAAATTACACCAAATGGAACATTTCTAGATGTCTTCTCTTTCTTTTTGTACACATTTTACTCTAATTCAGGCTGGCTTTTTCAGAACTCCAGTTTCAAACTAAATTTGTGGGTTTGATTTGAATAATATGCGCCTCACAATCTAAATTTGTAATGATCAATACTTTGAAGAGGACGCAACAATTGGTGAAAATGCTGAAAAAGCCTAAATCTCAAACACCAAACTAAAAATGTGGCATGTGGACGAATATTTCTCACACAAGATCTTGGTGTGTGTCTGCTTTTCTTCAGCTGTTTATGGTTGACAATGGTGCGGACGATTGGAGGATAGCCATGACGTATGAGCGTATCTTCTTCATCGTGCTGGAGCTGTTGGTGTGTGCCATCCATCCCATCCCGGGCCAGTACGTCTTCACATGGACGGCGCGGCTGGCCTTTACCTACACTCCGTCGGTGGCCGATGCCGACGTGGACATCATCCTCTCCATCCCCATGTTCCTGAGACTCTACCTGATAGGCAGGGTCATGTTACTCCACAGCAAGCTGTTTACGGACGCTTCGTCTCGCAGCATCGGTGCCCTCAACAAGATCAACTTCAACACACGCTTTGTCATGAAGACCCTCATGACCATCTGTCCAGGAACTGTTCTGCTGGTGTTCAGTATATCCTCCTGGATCATTGCTGCATGGACTGTGCGCGTCTGTGAGAGGTAAACACAGGGTTGTGAATAATGGATGTTGCAGGGGACAAATTGAAAATCAAAATGGCTGATGCACAATCACGCGTTGTGGATTACTAGACACCTTTCTTCCTTCACTCTCGTCTCTGTTTTGTCCCAGGCTTCTCAGTGTTTGTTTTTGGTCACTCATCTGCACTGGTTCAAGGTGTGGATTCACTAGGTTACATATAAATACCATACACGTGTACAGAAAGGCGTACACTGATACGCCCACATACTACTCCATTTCTTGAGTGTTTAAAAACACCCTGATATACGTTTCATTAGCTCAGCAATCCCCACTCCTTGTTTTTATTGCTATTCTAGATGGCTTGTCCATAATTCATGAGTGTCTAATTGTTTGTTTGCTGAATGGTTTGTTTTGGTAATGCAGAGCAGCCCCCAGGATCCCCTAACCCGTTTTCTCCCCAAAACTGCACATCGGGCTTCGTCTCAAGGGGGCAGCATGATTCTCACTGAAAATGAAAGAGGCAGGGAGAAATGAAAAGCTTTTTTTCCCTTTCTCGTTTTGCATTTGCATAGGGAAATGAGACGTTAATGCCAGCTTTGATGTTTCAAAGTCATTTTTGCGTAGTTGGAGTGGAAGGGGGACTTAAGTAGGGTGGGTGGAGAGTGGAAGATCTATAGCAGCAGTTCTTGTCAGACCCAATATGATATTGGACATGTGCTGCACTGTTAAAGTCAAGCATCAGCTCAGATGAAGGCTTTCAGCCAGGCCCTGACTACAGATGCTCACCGTCCTCCTGCAGCTCATCTCGCCTGCTTTTACTAAGTACCTCCCCTCCCGTCCCTTCCTCTACCTCTCCTCTTAACTACTCCCCCGTGTTAACACCTGTCACTAACCACTCCTTCTCACGCGCCCAACCCGGCCGGGATCCTCTTGGACCCTCAGCACCTCCAGAGCAGCTGACCATTGACCAGCTCCTCTGGAAACACAGAGGCAGGCAGTTAGGCGTAACAGGTGTCACCTCATTTTAATGTTGCCACATGTTCAAAACAACAAATTGTCCAGATTGTATACTATTAGTAATGTCTCAGCTCAGCAGATTACTGTTGGCTACTGCTGCACAATCATTCACTATCTATATTTCTATATTATTGCCAGCCTTAAAGATATACAGTAGTTTGACATTTAAGAAAAAAAGCTAATTGGCTTTCTTACTGAGACTTATGCAAAAAGATTGATATCACTCAGCTTAGCACAAAGCCATGAAACAGAGGGAAAGCAGCTGCCAGATAGCCGGCAGAAAATACAGAAAGTTACTGATTCCAGCTCAGGAATAGTCTGGCACATAAACCCCCATAAAACAGCAAAGTGATATTTCACCACTAAGGTTTTTGTCCGTATTAAAGATAAACAAAGAGCCTAACATGTTAATTAGTTAGCTTCAGAGGGGTTTGTTATCTTTGGACAGAGCCAGCCTCACTGTTTACAGTCTTTTTGCAAAACTAAGCTAATCGGCTGCTGGCTCTAGCTACATTTAGCTATGGTGCAGACATGTGAATGGTATCGATCTTCTCATCTAAAGTGTACTTCCCAAAATATTGAATTTAAATTGAACATGTCTTGGCTTTACATTGGGATTTTTTTTATTATTGGATTTTTAGGATCTTGTTATATAAGACAGGAATTCAGTATGAATTATGTTAGAAAAAAACTATGAGAATGGACATCTGACAAACCTAATTTTATAGTATGCTGGGGTCAATGTGGAAATCTGGACTTAAATACATGATTAGATGAGAAGCACAGAATCTCTAGCAGAGTCTTGGTTTTCTCACACATACATTCTCTGACACAAACTTTCCATGAGCAGTGCATGCCGTTGGTTTCAGTTTCAGAATAACATGTGTGTTCAGACGGGTGGATTTGTGTATGCATGTATGTGTGTGTTTCTACGGATGGGTGCAAGCATGCACATGTAGGTTTGTGTGTGTGTGTGTGTGTGTGTGTGTGTGTGTGTGTTTGTATAATGTTTTGTTGTACTTTCTATTTCCCCACTATGCTGCTCCATAGGGATACCATGTGAGTCCTCGTTCTCTAGCCGTGGAAAAAAACAACTTATCATTTTGCACCGAGCTGGCGCCACTGCTGCCCTGAGTGGGATTGGAGGGTGGGGTGGTAGTGGGGAGAAGGGGCAGCCCATCTAAAACAATTAAGCGATGATCCTTTGCAAACACAGTACGGCAAAGGAGGATTAGGTAGGCCCTCTACTTGGCATGAAAGTGGCACCATCCTTCTGCTAAGAAAACAGACTTTTAATGGCTATAGGAGCACAGCAGAGACCAACCGTGTGAGCAGCACTTTGAAGCAAGCGTCTCTTTGCTAACTATTGTGGGTTAGGCCGGTAGGGGCTGGAGGAGGAGGAGGAGGAGGAGGAGGAGGAGGAGGAAATTTGTGCTAAAATGGAGCAGCTCCTTCAAGTCACCTTCACAAATCTGCTAGAGGGCAATTTGTCTTTTCTAATTTTTGTCTCTCCCTCTCCTTATGCAATTGTTATAGATCCATATTGCACAAAAAGTATTTTTAGCAGCAACTCCAAAAGATTTGTCGAGGAGCAAAAGCCTTTCTGTTCTTTTAGTTCTCACATTACCATCCCATTATGTGTCTCCCTTCACACAAAATTTATTGAACAGTGTTGTAATGGTTTTCCACAGATTTCTGTTGCTTCTACCCCAAGGATTTTGTTCTAGAGGTGAAGACAGTTTGTCTCCTGTAGCCAAAAAGAAGGTCTGAGTATGCATGGAGAGGACAAATGTCAAGTTACTTGTGTACTTGTTAATGTCATTTTGGTCTGGGGTGTGTCTTGCTGTCTAGCATAATATGATTTTGATCGGTAACTATGACTAGTGTTACACAGTTCGACGCTAGGCAGGTAAATGAGTGCATTGCTTTCCATTGTTGCACAGCACATTGTTTTTTAAACTGAGACACTTTGGAAAGAGGACTATGTTTTGGGTTGAATGCAGCGTCTCCAGTTTTTGTTTATGCCCATGAACTGAATGTCCTCATTCCCCTTAGTCCCCTCCTCTGGTAAACATTGAAACAGCATGCAAGTTTTCATGTTTACTTATCAATCTCATCATTTCAATAAAAAAAAATTTTAAAAAGGAGAAAAAGAGGCGCTTGTTTTCCAAAGTGCTGTGTGTGACTTTTGTATCTTCTGGTAAATGCGTCGTTACACTGTCACATTGACCACGCTCCTGAGCCAGTCAAAGGCAGTACGGTGTGAGATTGGACGAGCACGGAGTCTACCTGGAAAATGCCTATTGGGGGGAATGAAAGACGCACAACCAGAGGGACAGAGAGGGATGGAGGGGTGGAGGGAGGGTGGAGTTGTGAGGAATGCTAATGTTACAGTAGATGGACTTAAAGCTGGTCACTGGCCCCCTCTCCCTTTTTTCTTGATACAGCCCATCATCAGAGCTAACCGACCTCATCTAAGCTCCTTAACTAAGCTGTTTGGGCTTCTCCCTCACTACCACGAGGCTCCCTCCCTCCCTCTCTTACTCTTGACTGATCCTTTGCAGATCTCCTACTGTACCCATCTTACGTGGCATGCTTTGCAGTTTTTCCTCATCCCTCCCCACTACTGATTCCCTGCCCCTTTGCCTTCCCTTATCCATAACAAGCAGGCCTAATCTCTCAGTTACACACTTGCATGCATGCCTTGCCTTCCCTGGTTGCTCGCTCCTTTTTCTCTTTAACTGTTATCTAATTCTCTTCCTCTCCTGTTCTAACTGTGTTATCTGAAACAAAACGCTCTATTTTGAGGCGATGTGAGACTGCCGTTTCTCACCTCCCTTTCTCCGGTGAGGACCCGTAGGCTACATGAAGCTCTTGGAAAGTTTAGCTGACTTTCCTTCAGAGCACAGCGCTGGATTATCGGGCTTGAGTTACTAGTCAGCTACACCTACACCCAAGGTCTGACATCCAGATTGTGTCCTCACTTAGCCACAAGACACAAACAGTGTCAGCCAAGAACAGACTGTCCGAATGTCTAACCAGAGAAACACACACCTGTGCAACTTGAACTTGTCACACCAACCACAGGTTTACATAAAACATTCAGATATATTTTACAACTTTACAGAATACAGAAGAATGCTGTTCCTTTGTTTTTCATTAGATTTAAATTACAGCGAAATGCCTCCTTATCCTCCTGGCTAAACATATGATGACAACTCTGAAAATTTTACATTATTTCAAAGCATTGCTGTCCACAAATCCTGGCATATATCTGACATTAAACAGCAAACTGACACACCTCATTGAAAAACAATGTTGTTGTCCAATAATGTTGGAGCAATGCACCTAACAATGAGGATCGCAAAGTGATCTGTTTATATTGTTTGCTATGCATTGTCAATCTAAGTGTCTAATACACATTTCCCCTAGTTAGAATCCTTCAAGATTATCTTTAAAATGAGCATCTCTTCCACAAAGACAGATGGATTTTATGCAAATTGTTGCACCCCCAAGGACAGGTGGATTCTCTATGGTTTGATGACTTTATCTGATACCGTGTTTTTAATGCACGCTCTGCATGCATAGTATCGATTGCAGCCTATGGCAAAGTCGTATACAGAACCCGCAAAGCACGTTTGCATAACAGAGAATGTGAAAGTTATAATCACCAAAGATATGATCTGCACTGAAGATCATAAGCCGAACCACTGCTGTTCTTTGTTCAAAGACAGGTAGCAGCAGCTTAAAGTAAAAAGTTCCTTAAGATGTTACTTACATATTTTTTTTTACTTTGGGACATGACACCACATCCAGTTTCAGACACAATTACTTTTTTTCTGTAGGGTTGTTTAATCTATTGAAGGTATACAATTAGAAGAAATTAGTATTCTGAAAGAAAAAATAGCACTGGTGTTTTCTACCTGTTTAAGAGAATCAAAACTCTTATTTAGCTGCTGTCCTTAATGTACAGTATATGAAGTCCTCTCAGGCACTTGGGTCT